TATATATATATATATATATATATATTCATAATAGAGTGAAAATATATATAAGTTAAAATACATTTAATGTTTTGTAGATGATTATTGCCTCCGATGAAACTCGACATATACCGCAACACAATCAGGAATCGTGGTGGCAGTGGCAAAACGTTCCACCTGGGCACCAATGGCAGCATCATCAACAGGGAAATCAGTGGAACAAACCAATCATTATTATTCAAGAAACTCCGAACACAGATACAAATCATATATCATCTCCGCTTCCGACAACGGAAATTCCTAATAACAATAACGAACAAACGAATTCTCCGCCTTATCATGGTGGAGAAGGAATCATCGATATTAGAGCTGGGCCAACAGAATAATCTATGTATTTTTTTGTACTTATTATTTAATTAAATCAACTTATATATATATATATATATACATATATAAATAATTAAATAATATAGTATAATTATTTAACTTTTTTAATAAACCTGCATTGTTTCTTAATTGTACATTATTATTTATATTTAAAAAATGTTTATACATATATGTACATATATTTTTTTCAATCATGTAGGTCACAAATTGTAGCTTTAAGAATATTGAATAAAGATTATATTTAGACATTTGTATATGTAAAGTATGATAATGTTGTTCCATTGTTTGCAATAGGAATTTTTCAACACGATATGCTACGTATTGTATTATGTTTTGAATGTTTTGAACTTTTTAGTCCTGAAACAAGTAAGAGATTACAGCATGGATTTTTTTAGCATAACACAATTTTTATAAGATATAAAAAATCAATCAATCATAATCCTTCATTTCCTTTCTTTCTGTGAAATGGAAAATTCTGATTGGTTAATTTTCCATTTCCTTTCTTTCCGTGAAATGGAAAATTCTGATTAGTTAATTTTCTTATGCGTTATATAAAGCTCCTTTATCAACTATAATACGATTACAAGAGTCGGTCGGCCTGCAGTCAGTTCTGCTGAGTTCTGCGATATCATCAATGATGTCGTATGATACGGGCTTTAGGGAGACTTCACATCTTGATAGAAAAAACAGGAAGTATAAAAGCAGAAGCACTCTTCTGTTTTCTTTTCAGCGCGAGTTCTAATTGGCTTCTACTTTTCTGTCTTTTGCTTTTCTACTATCAAGGCACAGTATAACCAGAGAGAAACCGAGAGGACATGACGGCCTAAAACTTGTAACCGCAAAATGCTTCCACGCACTACTACCCTCTGAAGAAGTGGATGTAAACTACATGCAAGATCCACTATTCTTAGGATAACGCATCTAATTTTCAAGACTGATGGTAAGTAAATATTCGCGGTTCGTATAATCGTATTCGCGCTACATAAAATGTGGATCAGAATAAATATTCTTCTCTGCAATTATATGTATGCTTACTTTCATGCGCGTGATGTTTCTTATTAAGCTTAAAAGTATTAACATTAAAGTTGTATATTACACCCATTTTTTTTACAAATATGTTAAAATATATATCGCGCGTGTTTATATTTTAAATAAGTTATATATACATACATATGATCCCGGCAATTGATCGCTTTAATGTACTTTACTCTTGTACGCGAGTCAGCACAGCCACACTGTGGGTCGAATTTTTTGACATAATAAACGGTGAATAAAAAAAGTTGAGAAAGAGCAAAAAATTAGCAAAAAAATAGCCCTTCAAGAATATGTACTTGTTTTTTCATTTGCTGCTATTTTTCTTTGTGGCTGTGGCACAACCACATGGAAGTAAGCATATACATATAATTGCAGAGAAGAATATTTATTCTGATCCACATTTTATGTAGCGCGAATACGTTTATACGAACCGCGAATATCTACTTACCATCAGTCTTGAAAAGTAGATGCGTTATCCTCAGAATAGTGGATCTTGCATGTAGTTCACATCCACTTCTTCAGAGGGCAGTAGTGCGCGGCAGCATTTTGCGGTTACAGGTTTTAGGTCGTCATGTCCTCTCTCAGGTTTCTCTCAGCTCTCAGGTATAACTGACTGTGGTCAAGGATAAATTTCCTTAAGCTTATTATGGGAGCTTTCTTCATGCGACACTGTAATAGTGACCCTTAGGGCTGCGCACAATAGGAGAAATATTAGGAACAGATATTTAAATATAAGAATTTTAATCTATCAGAACTGTGTACTGTGGAATGTGCGCTTTCTAACAGGTTAAAATTCTTATATTTAATATCTGTTCCTAATATTTCTCCTATTGTGCGTAGACCCTTTCATCTTTGTTTAACATTGGCAAATGACAAGGATGTAATGATTCACTGTGCTATATTGTGTCATCTGTTGGAAAGCTCCCTATAACTGTATTTCAGGAATGCAGATCGTCTAAATATAGAGAAGACGGCCTTTTACACCTCATTACTTTCATTGTAAACGGCTCTTTAAATACTGGGTGTCGCACGTCGCACTGTATGATTGCAGACATCACAGAATTTACTTTTTGTAGTGTATTGCCAGATTGTCAGTACTGGATGAATCTTCTATCTAGTTTTAGTGCATTTTAGTGCTGAGTTAGTGCTGAACAGTGTTGGGTTATCTGCGAATGCGAAAATATGGCAAGTTCGTCACGGTAAGCTTCACGAAAAATGAATCTCACTCTTGGACGTTGATTATCGAAAATGTAACAATCGTCACGAGTTGCATTTAATATTTGTCAATATTGCAACTGAAGTAAGGTTAAGATTGCGTTTTAATTTCTAATTATAGTTTTATTTACTATATAGGACACACTTTTCATCAACATAAAAATAAATTAATCGCGTGATAAGGTTGATATATAACACAAATTAACCTTAATAGTTAGACCAAAACTAATGTGCATAATTAAAATTATATCAAGCTTGGATCTAATCTAATCTAATGTTTATAATTAGAAATAAAATCAGGATGAACAATTTACTTGTCTGTTGACATTGGCAGAAACATGCCATAGATCTGTGTTTGAACATAAGATTTATCTAAATAATGCCAAACACATAAATTATTCACAAAAGTAAAAATTAATTTTCTTATAGGAATCCTACAAACAAGGTTTGTTGTTATGCACATCCAGATGCCCCACTTATAGAAGATTATAGGGCAGGAGATCAGATTTGTTCAGAATGCGGATTGGTTGTGGGAGATAGGTAAAGCAGACACAGATACAAGTACAAAGATCTCCAATAAATTTGACATTCATACATTCATTTCTTATGCTTAAATAGAGTAATAGATGTAGGTTCAGAATGGAGGACATTTAGCAATGAAAAATCAGGAGTGGATCCATCGCGTGTTGGTGGTCCAGAAAATCCACTCCTTAATGGTGCAGACTTGTCTACAATGATTGGACCAGGAACAGGAGCTGCATCTTTTGATGGTTTCGGTACCGCCAAGTATCAAAATCGACGTACAGTTAGTATTCGATTTTTTTTATTACTTCATGTGATAAAGTCGTTGCTAAAAAAAAACATTCTTTTTCAGATGAGTAGCTCTGATAGGACTCTACTTAATGCATTTCGCGAGATTAATGGTATGGCAGATCGTATAAATTTACCGAAAACTATTGTGGATAGAGCCAATACATTGTTCAAGCAAGTGCATGATGGCAAAAATCTGAAAGGTCGTGCAAATGATGCAATTGCTTCCGCGTGTTTATACATTGCTTGTCGGCAGGAAGGAGTACCACGTACATTTAAAGAGATTTGTGCAGTTAGCAAGATAAGCAAGAAAGAAATTGGTCGATGCTTTAAGTTAATTCTCAAAGCTCTTGAAACCAGTGTGGATCTTATTACCACTGGTGATTTCATGTCTCGATTCTGTTCCAATCTTGGCCTTCCAAATATGGTACAGAGAGCCGCTACACATATCGCTAGAAAAGCAGTAGAAATTGACATTGTACCTGGAAGATCGCCCATTTCTGTTGCCGCTGCAGCAATTTATATGGCATCACAGGTATGCAAAACTATGATGACACTATATTCTGTAATGAAATAGGCATTATTTTATTTTCATGCATTCTTATCTTACACAGGCATCGGAAGATAAGAGATCCCAGAAGGAGATTGGAGATATTGCTGGTGTTGCAGATGTCACAATCCGACAATCATACAAATTGATGTACCCGCATGCAAGTCAGCTCTTCCCCGAAGATTTTAAATTTGCCACGCCAATCGATCAATTACCACAAATGTAAAGCCAAGAAAAAGCTTTACTTTCTTCTTCCGAAATATATTTGACTGTTTTAAAGAGATATTTGTTTTCCATCACAAGCATAATCGAACACATGTAATTCAATATTTTAGTTTTATCAACAGGGTACATTCCTGAATAATGTATATGATCCAATATTCTTTACTGTATGTATAGTGTAGTATGTTAATTATTATTTTCTTTTTATTTTATTTTATGCAGATTATTTTTCGAAGATATGATGGTGCTTTGGTGAAATATATTTAATATTCATATTCTGTTATATTTTATATTTTACATAAATTACGTCATGTGATTTTTACTTCTACGTAGCATGCAACTCAACTTTCTATTATTTCTGTTTATAATTTATAACACGAGAAGAAGTCCATTTAGTGCTACTGTAACTGGTAAAAAATTATTTTTTCAACTGCACTATTAAAAAACAAAATTCTTACAAGAGGACCTTATGTTATTTGAAATACACGCATATACATATATATAAGATCTATATATAAATTCATAGAGATGTAATTATATAATTAATTCTAGTTATATATTAATTATATAAATATACAATTTTCTATAAATTGGACAATTTTTATGTATATATATAATTGATATATAAACTTAATTAATATTTAT